GAAAATGGGGTCACCATGATTAAGTGCTTACCATGCTAGGAGCTGTGCTGTATATCGTCCTATTTCATGCTTACAGTCACCCTGTGAGGCAGATGCTATTACACTCATTATGCCTGACAGAAACTGGTCAAGTCAAGACCAACCCTGTTCCGTCTAACCTCAAAGGTTATGTCTTCTTTTGAATGAAGGAAGAGGGTTCTCATGGTAGGGCCTTACTGGAATGTAAAACTTTTGCTGCAAAAGTGTAACTTTTACTGCAAGCCACAAATGCACTTATATATCATGATTATCTACAGTTGTCAATGCTGTTGTTGAACATTTGGGCAAAGCAACGACAAAGATGATTAAAACACAAACACTGCATTTTAAACAGAGTTAATTGTAGAACCCTATAGGTTTGGAAGATTAGAAAGAGTGCCTTCTCTCTACTTAAGACCATAATTAGAAGCAGAGATATTCATCTGTAATCAAATTTAAAGAGGCAAAGTTTCAGCTTTCAATCAGAGGCCAAAATCTGGAACAGAGAGCCAGTACAACCACATTCAATCTAAAACTCAATAGGTTGGGGGTGGGGATGATGTAGGAAGAAAAGGGACAGCTTTTCATAAGTCTTAACAAATGCAGTTGGAGTTAGAATCTAATGGGACAAGCTTTTCATAGAGAGATTTTTACCCAGGCAGAATTTGAATGTGTTATAGTACAAAGGCTCCAGTCTAAACTTGCTCTTGTCTAAGAACATTTTCAAAGGATATTTCAAGCCCACCCAGCTCCTCCCCCACGACTGACCTCCACCATGTGCTCTGAATATGCAGTTTGGCTTTTTGTTAGGCAGTGCATCTACATGGCAGGAGGAGGACTCCCAGGGTGGGAAGCCTGGGGTTAGGACAAAGGGAAGAGAAGGAACTAACCCTCTGTTGTCAACTAGGCCAGGACTGCTCTGCCTGCAGGCCTGGGGCTCCCACCCACTAAATCATCAACACGGCTTGCCCTAGCCCAGGGAGCGTGCCTGCTGGGCTCAGGGCGCAGGAAGCTCCAGCTGGAGGGCAGTTCTGGCTGCTGCTGAGCGCCTTCCAGTCTTAGCACCTGCAGATGCTTGCTTGGGTAAACCCTGCTTGCCCCAACAGCTGCTCTCCACAGGAGCTGGGGCCAGTGCCCGTCCTCCAGCACAGGGAGCCACTGAGGGGCTCCAGACGGCCCACACAGATGTACTCAACGTGTCCAGCCCTTAGCAGACAGCAGACTCTGAAGGAACGGCTGCGGTGAGGGGATAAACCATTTGGAAGAAATTCTTCTCTCCAGCGTCATGGGCTTCTGGAAAGCCAGCCATGAATACTCATTGTATTTTGTGTCCCTTCAATGAAGCCGCACATTTGGTTAAGACTGAAAGGGGAACAGGAACATTTAATCAGACGGGGGCAGCCACTGTCATCCAGGCTCTCCTCCCTTGCACACACTCAGGGTCCGTCCGAGGCTCTGATTTTCGCCCTCCAAAGGGAGATGACCTCACGTGGGTCTCTGGATTCTGAGCAGACCATCAGCCCCTCAGTGCTCACAGCAGCAGGCGCCCAGACCACAGAGCAAACCATGGAGCAAAGGGCCAGCTTCAGAAGCCGGGCGGAGGTTTCCACGCTGGCTGCCAGGCTTCTGGGCAAGCAGTACTAGAAACACTGTCTGCGGGAAGCAGTCACACCTCCCGGGGGAAGTCGGGGAGACACTGCCATGGGAAGCCTTCGTTTTCATCTCAAACCACTCTCACTGGGGGATATTTTGCTTTAAATTTCTCAGAAATCACTTTAAAAAAAAATGGTGTTCTTTGCTTTACAGGTTCTTTCTTAGAAATCTCGACTTCTTTGAAAGGAAGGTAAGTGTCCAGCAGGGGAACTATGGATTGCTCTGGTGAATAATCTCTGACATGCAAATTCCTTTTATACCCTGGCCTCTTCATCTTTTTCTTGAGAAGAGGCATTGCCTTGCAGATCAACAGGCAAGACACCAAAGCCAAGTGGGTTTCCTTCCCCACCCCCTCCACCCTTTCCTGAGCCTCCTGCTCTCAGCTCCCCATCCTGGGAATGTGCTTTGACTCAGGGCCAAGGTGAGAGGACACAGGGACTCCTTGCCCCTAGGGCAGAGCCTGAGAGTTTTTTGAGATTTCCTCTAATAAAATGAAAGCTTCAGATTATGCCAGAAGGACAGAATGCCAAAAGAAACAGTGTTTCTTTAGCTGCCTCAGTAGGAGAGATGCTACTAGTATCAAGCACAACAAGAACTGGGGAGCCAAGCCATGGACAGTGGCCACTGACGCTTGTGGGACCCAGTTTACCATTTAAAGGGTCAGCTGCTCACAGCAATGCATTTGCAGAGCTGTAGACAAATGAATTCCCAACATCCTTTATATCTCAGTACCTCCAGCCTTCAACCTTCGATCTCTGCGACTTCTTGGTGACTACTTACTTCCAGGACTGAGATGGAGGAGATGCAGAAGGGCAGCACTTTAAGAAAATGCTCCTGACCAAAAAGACACTGTGGGTGGAAACTGATCCCCAGGTGGTCTTGATGGGGAAACTCAGGTAGACCTAGCGAGCATCAGTCACTGAACATCTTACACACCTATTTCTTTTCTCTCCACAAGCTGTGCAGCACTTTGCAAAGTGTGGGAGATCTTCCAAAATTCATGGAAAAGAGAATTAAAAGATAAGTATGTTTTGGTGCAAAAATTCAGAAACCCATGAATATAAGGAACAATCACAAAGTTCATGAGAAATGCATATTATGAAAAAACGTTGCATGGCTTTCAAAATATTTTTGCACCATGGTAAACATTTCTTTTAATTCCATTTCTCCAAGAACTCTCTGAAGTACCACTGTAGATCTGTCAGCTACTGAAGAATGCACGGGAGCATGAAGCCAGTAGCACTGTAATGCACCAAATGGCTAGAATGGAATCACAGCTCCTGCGCTCACAAGTTTCCTCGCTGATGTCATTTTGGAGCAAGCCAACAAGAAATAGTGAAATATGCAGGAAGACCTCAGGCTGCAGAGGCAGCGTTTTCTAAGCAAACAGCAACAGCTGAGGGACTGCTTTTCTACAAGGTAGGGGGGCTCTGGGAATAAGATCCACTCACATGTGAAACAAAGCTTTGCACCTCAGTGTTGTACCAGGATACTCTTTCAAGTTAAACTCACATGAGTGATGGTAAGGAAAAGAAAAAACAGCAAGAAATAAAGGCCTTCCCTGACTCGGGTAACAACAGCTGGTGAGCCTTCCATTCATCATGTAATTGCACACTGGAAGGCCTGTGTCAGACAGGTAGTGGCAATTACCAGGCAGGCAGCCGCGGAGACCTCTTTGTCTGAGGAGGGAAGAGGGCACAGGGAGTGCCCAAGAGTCTGATGCTAATGAATCTTAGGTTTCTTGCACCTGCATGCACTTATTCCGGCACAGCTGCATTTCACAGTTAAAACATGCAGCCCAGTTCTCCCAGTGTCCTAATGGAAGGTGTTTGGATGGAAACAAAACAGAAAGTCTAAGCAAAAAATAAAAAGCACCTGATGCTTTTGGATTCCATACACCTAGTACCTATCAATTAGAAATGCTGTTTTATCTCTTTTTCTGACTGTCCTACAGTAGGTGACATTTGGAGACCTTTAAGAGCAAATGTCAACTGGAAAGTTCAGCCTCGATTTTGGTACTGCAGACTTGCATGGGCCCTGGCTTCTCAATCCCTCAGGCATGTTCATGTTCTAACAAAGCTCACCAGTGCCGCGGTCACCTGCTTCTGCACATAAGGCTGTCTACATAAAAGCTTGCCTCTCATTTGAACTCTATATGCCACTCAGGATAAGGTTTGTTCTCCCATTAAATGTTCCTTTGGGAGAAAAAAAAATTAACTATGCTTTTAGTTTTTTGGTTGTTGTTTGTATGAGGACAGGTGTACAAAAGATCCATGGAAACATCAGATGATGAAAAATACTGCCTAGATTTCAAATTTTTTTGCACCCAAATTAATTTCTTAAAATATTCATTCATTTATTTGAGAAGCAGGGAGATGGGGAGAGAGAGAGGAAAAGGGCCATTAAACTGGGGTCTTGAGATGAGGCCTACTGCCTTATCTGTCAATCAATTTTCACTGGAATGCAGTCATGTCCACTCATTTATACTGTCTATGGCAGCTTCTGCACTTCAGTGGCAGAGCTGAGTAGCTGGGATACAGACATGGCCCACAAAGCTCAAAATATTTATTACCTGGCTCTCTGCAGAAAAATATTTGCCAACACCTGCTTTAAAAATACAATTTCCTATAACTTTGGAAAATAAGTACTTGGGCAAGTTAATCTGTAACAAATGTTGACAGATATTTAATGGGGGTGGACCTTAGAGGCCTTAAGAGTTAGTGTTCTGGGTCGGCACTGTGGCTTAGCAGGTTAAGCTGCTACCTGCAGCGCTGGCTTCCCATATGAGCACCAGTTCAAGTCCTGGCTGCTCCACTTCCAATCCAGCTCCCTGCTAATGTGCCTGGGAAAACAGTGGAAGGTGACCAAGTACTTGGGCCCCTGCACTTGCGTGAAAGACCTAGAAGCTCCAGCTCCTGGCTTCAGATCAGCCCAGCTCAAGCCATTGTCACCATTTGGGAAGTGAACCAGAGGATGGAAGACTTTTCTCTCTCTGCTTCTGCCTCTCCCTCTCTGTAACTCTCTGCCTTTCAAATAAATAAATAAACTTTTTTTTTTTTTTTAAATCAGTGTTCAGCAAGTCTCTTAAAGAATAAAGAACAAGAGGCCTTCAAAAATTTTTCTGCAGCATCCTTTGTTATCTACCTATTACATGCAACTTCATGCAACTTCACACTTTCTACTTAACGAAAAATTAGACTATGGCATGCAAGTGCCCTCCCCAGTTGGTTCCCAAGGTTGAGGTAAGGAGCAGCTGACCCCTTCTACATCAAAGAACAACTGATTATCAGTGTGACCAACATAGTACTGGGCAGAGGACATCACTGTACCTGTTGGCCAAAAGTTGAGACCTGGTTCCTGAGGGTGAAGTCAGGTAGATGGCCAGGTCTCCCCTCCGAGGGTGGGTGATGGTAATGCGCACAACCACGTGCTCCAGGTAGTTGACATGGTGGTTAGGGTTATCAGAGCAGCCCGAAGCTTTGTAGATGGAGCGCACCGCACTGTTGGGGCGAATCGTCCTGCAAAAGACAGAGATGAAGTCTGGGCAAACTACCTGGCAGTTCTCAGCTGACAGAATGTAGAGGCTTGTAATTAGTACACCAGGTAAGGCAAGCAACTAGTCGCTGGATACTTAACAACAATAATGCTATCACCCAAATGATTGGATCACATGAAGGATTAATGGTTGGATTGTGGGGATCATGCAAGTAAGATAAGACGAGAAACCAACGTACTTTTATTATCATGCAGGTGGTGGATATTGAACCTGAGTATGCATTGGCATCACCTTGTTAAACCATAGATTGTTCAGTCCCAGCCCCAGAGCAGCTGATTGAGCAGATAGAATTTGCATTTATAACAAGTGATAGTGATGTGGCTGGTCTATGGAATACACCTTGAGAACAATGTATTTGTTCCAGTGGAGGTGAGGGTATTACAACCTTGGTTCAAATGCCTGGGCTGTCCATTCCTTGCACTAGAACCTAGGCATACTCTTTCCTCTTGCCTTCAGGTTCTTGTCTTCCACTCTCTCTTCCTCCTGTGCCAGTGTCCCCTGGAACACTGGGCTCCAGCCATTCAGGCATTAGTTCTACTTCTGAGATAATTCAGTGTTCCCACTTGGGAACTTCACATTTACTATTCTCCCAGAAAGATTTTCTTGTTTTTTGTTGATTTTCTCTTGACAGTCTCTTTCTTCACAGTCAAAGTGTAAATGTTACCTCTCTGAGATAATCCTTGAACCATAGGCAAAAAATACTCCCATCCCTTATTTTCTACCTGTCCAAATCCCCAATATTTACGCATTATAATTTATAATTATCTATTTATTATATTTTCTGTCCTATTCTTCCACTAGATCCTAATAGCAGGAAGCCATTTTTCATTCCATTTTTATCCCTACTATCTTGTTCAGTGCTTGATACTGAATACGTGTGAAAAAAATAGTTGCTGAGTCAGTGAGTTTGTGAATGAATATACAAATAGTCACTTCTTGTTTTTTGTCTCATCCTTTGTCATAAAAGAGAAGAATGGGGAAAACACAACGTTAGTCCATTTACTTCTGCTTCCTAATAAATTTCCTCAAGAATTACAATGGCTCAGTTTCATCACAAACCAAAGTTCATAAATATTTTTCAGAGAGAGAGAGGTCTTTAAAAAGAAAGCCAAGAGCAAAATACTAATAAAGCCACTACAGCAGTGTCCTGGTCCGGGATTTAGCACCTAGGAGAAAAAACACAGTATTGTGCCATAAATCCTGTTGGCATAACCACCAAGTCTGTGCAGCTCACACTGGGGAATAGGCCCTAAAAGCTCTGAGCTGACTGCCATCTCACAGACTGGACATTGTGTACCACTCTTTGGAGAACTGCATGATATACAGTAAATTTTCTAGAATGAGCTTCATTTGTTTGAAGTACAGAGACTTCTGGAGAATACCAACACCATCAAATAGAAATATTGACAGAATAGAAAACTTCAGAAAGGCCGTCTGTAGTGGTCTCCGCAAACTTCCCCTTTTTTATTTGAGAGGAAGAGGGAAAGGGAGGGAGGGAAGGAGAGGGAGAGAGAGAAAGAGTGAGCGAGCAAGTGAGCAAGAGAGAGCTCTCATCCGCTGGTTCACTCTAAATGCCTCCAATGGCCAGGGCTGAGCCAGACTGAAGACAGCAGCAGGGAGCCAGGAACTCAATCAAGTCTCCCATGAAGGTGGTAGGCATGCAACTACTTGAGCCAGCATCTGCTGTCGCCAGGGTGTACACTGGGAGGAAGCTAGCATTGGAAGCAAACCCAAGACTTGAACCCAGGAAGTCTGATATGGTATGCAGGCATTCCAACTGGTGTCTTAACCCCTAGGTCAAATACCTGTCCCCCCAGATTCCCAAAAAAGGAATATTTTTCAGGGTGTGCATTTGGTACAGTGGTTAATAACTTGCTTCAGACACCCACATTCCATACCAGAGTAAGTGGGTTTGAGTCCCAGCTCTGCTTCTGAGTCTAGTTTCCTGTTAATGTACACTCTGGGAGGCAGCATGTGATGGCTCAAGTCCTTGGGTCCCTGCTTCCCATCTGGGAACTGGGATTGAGTTCCAGGCCCCTGGCTTCAACCTGGTCCAGACTCGGCTGTTGCAGGCATTTGGAAAGTGATTAAATGGGTTGAGAAACTTTCAGTTGTCCACACTTTCACTGTGTTTGTTGCTGTTTCTCTGTCTCTGTCCTTCAACTAAGATGGCAGGTGAGAGACAGAGGGAGAGACAGAGAGAGAATGAGAGAATAAGAGACTGAGAGAAAGAGAAAGAGAGAGGCTTTTCTTTTAAGGATTCTTGGGTTTTAATAGTGTGGATTTAACAGCTAAGAATCCTAGACATTCTACTACAACTTTATGATTATATAAGAAAGAAGTTACAGAACTTTTTAGCTCATAACAAGGGGCTGTTGCAAGCACTTGCTCTGGCCTGCTCTCATGCAGGGTGGTCATGCTCTCTGTTGGTTGCAAACATTACTTGATATGTCGATCTGTGCTCTCCACACACACGTGCTGTTGGGGAACAGTGGTCCACTTCTCCGCCTCCATCACCATGGCTTCTGCATCCATCAATCCAAATCCATAGAGATGGCTCACTGTGAAGGCAAGAGGCTGGTCAGCTTCACTGTGGTTAGGAGCAACCTATGTTTTATATATGTATATATATATATGTATATATATGTGTATATATATACTCTCTCTCTCTCTCTCTATACATATATATATGTTGAGTAGCAGTGTCACTCAGTAGAGACCTGAGATACATCCCTGTGGAATTCTAGCTATCTTTCCAATAATGGTTTGAAAAGTAAATAAAAACAAAACAACCAATCACAACAAGAGAATAAGATGAATATGTATCACTCATCATTTAGGAATTAGGAATCAACTATCATTTAGGAATTGCTACTACATGCCAGGCACTAGTCTACATTTTTTACATTTAATCCTCTCAACAATCTTAAGATGTTAATGTTATTGTTACTGTCATTCATGGATGTGAAAACTGAGAAACAAACAGAAACTTGACCAAGACTGATTAGAGAGTCAGTGGTCAAGTTGGATTCTAACCCACATAATTTTGATCCAGGGCCCCACTGTTAATTACTTATATTTAAAAATGATGAGATCATTGATTTTTAAAAATAAAGTAATGATTAGGCTTAAAAGAAGTGACTATACAACTTCTCATAGTACAAGAAAATTACATGCAAGAAATTACCAATTTTCTGACATGCCTAGTAATTAGGTTGAATACCCCAGAAGGCATAAATTATTACCTTTCTTCTAGCATATAAAAATTTATTAACTCTATGCATGAAATATTTGGAGGCCTCTAGACTTCATGCCAGCCTCTTGTCTTAGAATCTGTTAGTTCTCAATTAGAATATCTATTGATCTAAAAGCTGAATTCACATAACTGTCTCAGAAATGTCAATTATGTTAAGAAATATTATAATAATGGTACAGCAAGAAACACATGTGCACTTTTCTGTAAAAATACTTTAAAATCTCAGTTCAATTCTTACAATTTTCACTTTGTATTGAACTGTGTCTCAAATCTTTATATTCAACATGAAGTCAAACTTCTACTAGATTTTGCCTAAACCATGTTTCATTATATTATCAATGACTTTATATATTTGATTATGGATTATTTAAATATAAGTCCTGGTCTACTTTCAAAATAACCTCTTCACCAAACCTTTAGCTTTAATAAAACCATTCTTCTAGAGTTTCCAGTCAGATCCGCTCTTTCTGGCTCATTGCTCTTACTCATGCTGAGCCCCTGGCCTCAAATTTCCTCACTCTTGCTCTCTGTAGAGCGAAATTCTGTTCCCATAGGCTTAGTCTATCTTTTCCTTCTTGAAAAAGTCAAAAGCTATTTATTTAAATTTAACCATCCATGACTGGTGAAAATTGTCTCCTTTCTTTAAAATTGCAATTACTTTTTCAATCCATCAGTCCTTCCATCCATCCATCCATCCATCATTTCTTGAGGGCCTTCTATGTCCCATGTGCTGTGTTAGGCACTGCATTTTTTATTTGTGCCATCAACAGAATTGCTAATTAACTCTCTGTCATTATATCCTTATTTTTTTTTTTAACTTTTATTTAATGAATGTACGTTTCCAAAGTACGAATAATGGATTACTATGGCTTCCCCCCCATACCGTCCCTCCCACCCACAACCCTCCCCTTTCCCACTCCCTCTCCCCTTCCATTCACATCAAGATTCATTTTCGATTATCTTAATATACAGAAGATCAGCTTAGTATACATTAAGTAAGGATTTCAACAGTTTGCTCCCACACAGAAACATAAAGTGAAAAATAATAGATGATTTTTTTTAATGATGATGAAATCAGATCAGACCTATTGTCATGTTTAATCCCAGTGAGAGTCAAGTTGGGAGTTGATAGTTTCTTTTCTTTTCTTTTCTTTTCTTTTCTTTTCTTTTCTTTTTTTTTTTTTTTTTTTTACAGAGGATCAGTTTAGTATGCATTAAGTAAAGATTTCAACAGTTTGCACCCCCATAGAAACACAAAGTGAAATATATTATTTGAGTACTCGTTATAGCATTAAATCTCAATGCACAGCACATTAAGGACAGAGATCCTACATGAGGAGTAAGTGCACAGTGACTCCTGTTGTTGACTTTACCAATTGACACTCCTGTCTATGGCATATGTCTATATCCTTATATAACAACTGTGTTTTAAGCTACTGGATGGCAGGAACTGGGTATTATGGTTCTTTCTGTGTTCTATGGGATTTATTAGAACTTGATGCACATGGGAGCACAACAAAGTAAAAGCATATAAAAAAGGAAAGTTGTATTAGGAATTAGAAATATGACTATATGCTATTTACTGATCATACAATTCTTAACAAACAAGATAAAATGTCAAATCCACAATTTACTTGTTTGGGGATATTATGATCTCTCCCATCATCATTACTATGCTCATTAGGTATTATTATATGTCCATGTGAGAAAATCTGGATAAAGAACTATACAAATATCAGGTACTTAGGACATACTAAAAATAAAGAGAACATTGCTAAGGCAAGGGTATATGTAAGCACTTGTACAACTTTTATTATTAATGCTTTTCTTGATTAAAAAGAAATGCATGTTCGCTATAAAATCTTAAATATATACAAAGAAGTAAAAATATAATAAAAGGCATCAATAATCTAATCACAAATTGGTAATTGTTATGAACAATTCTGAATAGTTTTAGGTATATAACATTATGTAAGGTAATTAAAAAACAAGAATCATGATAAAGGAAGAAATGTCAAGTTTGAGCCTAAAGAAATCAAATTGTGGAGACCTTTTGTTAAAGTTCATGCAAACCCTGTGTTCTTACTCATCAGTCCTCCACTATACCATTTCATCATGAACATTCTGAAGTATTTTCTTTTGTTGGGGAAAGTGTAATTTTTACCAAAGATGACTTGACATGCTATCTAGCTCTGGTCACAACTCAAATAGTGCCCAAGCCAGTGTCAAGCGGCTTTAAACCAGCACCCCTATTTTTATCTCAGCTTAGGGAATTAAGATGAAAGATCTGGTTAGCTTGTGGATGCTGTGAAGCTGATTTGGGGAGGCGAAGGGTTTTGAGCAGTCACTGCAATCCTGGGATAGCTGTGCCTTGCTCCCAGCACCTGTGCTAGAACTCAGCTGAATTTACTACTGCTCTTCCCTTGTCCCTCCCCCACTGTCCACCACACAACCATTAGGACATAAATTAACACAAAGGGTCATCAAATACAACAAACACTTCACGCCGTTAAACAACCACTTGAATGAAGTGGAAAAGCACCTTGAGTCTTTATGAAGGCCATAAATTTGTTTCCTTTTCCAATTCAATTCCTATCCTCCAGAGACAATCTCTGTTCATGAAATGCTCAAAATAGATGTTCAGAAAAGAGATTGATGGACTAGCTGCAGTTAAACTGCAGAACGACAGGTCAACAGAAAAAAATTTTATGAAAATATAATATTCATAAGCAAGGGAACTGGATTAGATCAATGAAGGTCAGTTAATCAGATATGGAGATTTTTAGTGCAGTGCTCTGAAATATTTGAAATTATGTGTCTATCCACAATGGTACCCAAGGAAAAATACAAAGTAAATTTCTTTCCTATTTTTTTTTTTTTTTTTTTGAGGGGGCATTGGCAATTTATCAACTCCACATAGTCCATTTGTTTTTTGGTAAACTAGGTACATAATGAATGTGTTGGGCAGATAAACTTCAAATGGGGGGGGGGTCTTAATAGTGGAAGCAGATATTAAACAGTATGAAAACCCTAATAGCTTTTCATATAATACAAAATTTTCACACTCTGAAATGCCCCATAGACACAGAAAATAACTGACTTTTTGGTGACCATTTGAGTGGAGTCTGTCCTGCCTTTCCCGCCTTCACCTTGATTTCTCTCTGGTGGCTGTGGAGTGCCTGGCTTACAGGAGGGTGCTATAAATATTTGTGAAGTGAGTGAATGGAGCTGAGAAGAGACATTTTATTTAATTCATCAAGTGGCATAAAGTGTTTATTAGAGAATTGTAAGGGGAATTAGGAGGTCTGCTCTTTATATTACTAACTTCCACAGAGATATCATTAACACCCCAAAATTATTCAAATATGAAGCCAATACTCACATTTTTGAATTGCAAATATACCATGAAATCAACTGGTTGTGATATGGCTGTTCCATAACTAGAGTAGTCTCATCTCTGCACATTTCCCATGCCAAGCTCAGACCAAAATCTGAGCCTAAAAGTTTTACGATGATCAAGTGGAAGCTGTTCAGCGTATGTATATGAGAAATGTAAAATTTTATGAAGCTGGAGTACAGTGGTGGGAACAGGACTGACGATCAATTCAGAATTTTTCATTGCTGGGGCTGGCATTGTGGTGTAGTCTGAAAAGCCACCACCTATGATGCTGGCATCCCATTTGGGTGCAGGTTCCAGTCCTGGCTGCTCCACCTGTGGCCCAGCTCCCTGCTAATGAGCCTGGGAAAGCAGTGGAGGATAGCCCAAGAACTTGGCCCCTGCACCATGTGGAGATATGGATGAAGCTCCTGGCTTTGGCTTGGCCCAGCCCTGGCCATTGCGGCCGTTTGGTGGGTGAATCAGTGGATGCAAGACCTCTCTTTCTGTCTCTACTTCTTGGTCTCTGCAACTCTACCTTTCAAATAAATAAAATAAATATTGTAAAAAAGAAATTTTCATTCTTATGAATGTGAAAGCCAACGTTCAATTCAATTTTAACATTAATTAAGATTCAAAAAAATCAAACATTAGAAAAAACATTAAGAGAACAATGTATTGGCCAGCGCCGCGGCTCACTAGGCTAATCCTCCGCCTGCGGTGCCGGCACCCCAGGTTCTAGTCCTGTTCGGGGCGCTGGATTCTGTCCCGGTTGCCCCTCTTCCAGGCAAGCTCTCTGCTGTGGCCAGGGAAGAAAGTGGAGGATGGCCCAAGTGCGTGGGTCCTGCACCCCATGGGAGACCAGGAGAAGCACCTGGCTCCCGCCATCGGATCAGCGTGGTGCGCCGGCCATGGCGGTCATTGGAGGG